ACTGACTTTCTCCTAAACTCCCATCTTTTTCATATCCAGATAAATACTGGGACCACAAATTCAAAATGTCCAATACATAGCATCTGCCCTCTTTAAACAACTTTCTTCACCTGTTGGGATTTTATGAATGATCTATTAATGACGTATTTCTCCCAGTCCCTCATTCTGTAAACTTCAGGGCTAGTTTTGACTCCTCCCTCTCTCAAGCCCTAAATTCAACCAGTTCATGAATCTTGTTGATTCTTCGTGTGCAGATTTTCTTGTATGTGTCCTTTCCCATTCCCACTGCCACCACCCCAATCCTGGCCCTTTGTTACCTCACACAGACAGTCTCAGCCTCACTTCTGATCTCCCACCCTACTCTTTTTTCCTACTTCTACTTTAATCTTCCCAAATGCTATCAAAGTGGGTTTTACTTTAAGCTTCCCAAATGCTATCAAAGTGGGTTTGATTAAAACCCACTTTGATAGCATTTCCTTTCACAATCTTTTAAAAATATTTTTATTTAATTAGAGTGCATGCACAAAAGTGAGAGAGAGAGCAGGAATACGGGTATGGGCAAGGGGAAAAGAAGAAGCAGGCTCCCTCCTAAGCAGGGAGCTGAAAGCCAAACTCCATCCCAGGACCTGGGGATCATGTCCTGAGCTGAAGGCAGATGCTTAACCAACCGAGCCACCCAAGTGCCCCTCCTTTCACAATCTTTAATGACTCCTCATTGCAAATCTTTTCATCCATTTATCAAGGTCCTCTCCAAACAACACCTTCTAATTTTGTCATCTTCCCGCACTCTCATTCATTCAATAGTATTGGGCATTGCAGTAAACAGTGAAAATACATGGTCCAAAGATGTGTAGAGCCTGCTCCTTGTTTTTGAAAGGAGCAAAGGAACAGATACGTGGGCAAATATTTAATGGCAATGTAATAAGAGTTCATAGATAAGTTCTCTTATAGTTCAAGATTGTTTTAAGGAAACAAAACTGCTAGTCACAGTCCTTAGTTAAACATTGGAAACTCGTGTAGCCCGTTTAAGTGAAATGAAATGTATCCTATGTAGGGTAGCTCACAGAATCTTTAATTAGAGGGCTGGTGATCCAGGGTCAGAGGCTGGGAAGCTAGAGCCATGATGGCCAGAATCATGACTCGGAAATGGGCTAGTAAGCTCACCATTGATGCTATTGGGTTCCAGCCACCATTGCTAGAAACTGACATGGTCGGAATTGGTACTACTGCCAGGCTGCCCTTGATGTTGTTGCCACAGCTGCCATCACCTGCTACTAGAATGGATTCTCTACCCCTATTTCTTTGCATCACTGGTTTCTGAGTAGTCAGGGGCAGGTATATCTGATGGGTCAAGTCTATGTCCTGTGCCTTCTCCCTAGCAGCAGGGGAGCCTGAGAAGCATGCACCTGGCATTTTTCAGGTTTACGTGGAGATATGTCTGGGCTTTGTTCTGAGATTTATTAAGGTTGGGATTCTCCAAACTTAAGGAATCTAGATGCTGAACAGCCATAAAGAACAAATGTCTGCTGCTACAACTTACAGATAAAGAACTTAAAATGGAGGGTGGATGGCTCAGTCAGTTAAGTGCCTGGGTCTTGACTGAGGTCATGACCTCAATGTGCTGGGATCAAGCCCTGCATTAGGCTCCCTGCTCAGTGGGGTGTCTGCTTCTCCTTTTCCCTCCACCTCACCCCCTTCTGATGTATGCATTCTCTCACAAGTCAATAAAATATTTTTTTAAAAAACTTAAAAGAGGAACTTCCCATAAAAATTTAAAATCTAGATAGAATCCAGTCCTAGCATCCAACATTTTACCTTTTGACTTGCCCCAACAGGTTAAATAGCCCTTAAAACATACTACACTGAATACAGAAATGACTGGATATAGCCACTTACCTTTGAAACACTGACTCTGATCTTCATTTACTAACCAACATGCTGAAATATTGTACCAAAGGCAATGGCAATAAGAGTATTTCTCAGAGTCAGGCACAATGGAAACCACCTTCCATATCCACCTTGAATAGCTCTTCATCTACATCAAAAAGGTCAGATTCATGAAAAGTGCAAAATCTGTTGAAGACCTGAACATCCTGCCTACTAATTTTTCTAAAAAGTTGGAAATCTTGGCCTTTTCTACTATTTAGTGTCAAAAATCACACAGTAACACTGGCTTTGCCTTCTTGCAGCAGAAGTTGCTACATAATGTATCAGGTACAGTAGTACTGTGAAACTCAACACTGAGAATATAAAACTGATTGATGTTAAATGTAAAATGACCAGGTGAACATGGACTGCAGACCTGCTATGTGACCACAGACTTAAAATGAGACAAGTTGTTATGGGAACATATAATACATAAAAATACTAAAGAAGTCTTCACAAAGACAGGTTAAGGCAAGCCTTGTAAACTGAGCAGGTTGACAGGTGTCTAATTAAAGATGGACACAAACTCTTTACCACTCCTCCCACTGAGAGGTGAAGTCCAATTCACTCCCTCAAAACTCTGGGCTGGCCTTAGTGATCTGCTTGACCAACAGCCTGTGGCAGAGGCGATGTTCTAGAACTTCCGAGGTTAGATCATAAGGCTTGCAGCATCTGTCTGGGAATCTTGGGACAATTTCTGAAAGCCATGAGATTCCGTGTGCCTCAACTCTTTGACTGCTATGTTGGAAAATCTACACGTGGGCACTCAGGTTCACAGTCCCAGCTAAGGCCAGCCTTCCAGTCAGTCATCCTTGTCTAACTGCCAGACATATGAATGAGTTTCAGAATCTCTAGACCAGCCCATCTACAATTTGAATACCAACAAATGATCTTTGTCAACAGCAACAGAAGAGTTATCCTCGCAAGCTGAGTCTTGCCCCAATTTCTGACCCACAAAACTGTGGTTAAAAAAAAAAAAAAAAAAAAAAGTTGCTATTTTAAAGCACTAAGTTTTCAGGAAGGTTGTAATGCAGCAACACATAATGGGACCATCACATAAACAAATGGGGAAGAACATTCTACACAAAACCAACATCCTCTCTAATGCTCCAAACTGAACTCTATTATTTCTCATATGTTCTTTGCCCAATTCTGCTTTACTGTACCTTCCACATGTTCCAACCTCCTCCATAATCCCAAATTCCACACCATATACAACTCTTTTTCTCATGCCCTTCAGTTTTCCCAGTGAAACGGCACTTTCTGTCTTTTAACTTGCATGTTTCCACCTCTATCAACAATGCTTTTTGGCACTGTCCCATTTTCCTGCAGTAGTGTAAATTAGTGCCCATTGTTCCAATTAATTAATAGTGCCCCCTTTCACTCCCAACTGTCCCATTCTAGGCAATAAATCATATGGTCACCTTGTGATGAACACAATGCTTTGAATGAGTTATTTGTGTAGAATTTTTTCTCTTATTCTAGAGTATATCATTACTTGAAACCAAGTATAGCTGATCCTCAACAATGTGGGGGTTAGGAGCACCAAATCCTCCACAACCGTAAAACACCGGTATAACTTCTGACTCCCCAAAAACTTAACAGCTAATAGTCTATGGTTGGCCAGAAGCCTTACCAATAACACAGTCGGTTAACACATTATTTTATGTTACATGTATTATATATTCTGCATTATTACAATAAAATAAGCTAGAGGGGCACCTGACTGGCTCAGTCAGTAGAGCAGACCCTGTGACTCTTGATCTTGGGGTCATGAATTCAAGCCCCACATGGGCATAGAGCTCACTGAAAAACAAAAACAAAAACAAAAAAAAACAAGCTAGAGAAAAAAAATGGTATTAAAAAAATCAGAAGGTTGGCCGGGGAGGTGGGGGGGGCTGTCCGGCTGGTTCAGCTGGTTAAGCATCTGCCTTTAGCTTAGGCTGTGGTCCTGGGATTGAGCTCCATATCAGGCTCCCTGCTTAGTGGGAAGTCTGTTTCTCTCTCCCACTCCCCACTGTTTGTGCTCTCTCTCTCAAAGAGATAAATAAAAATCTTTAAAAAAAAAAAAAAAAAAGAGGAACATCAGAAAGAAAATACCATAAAATATCCACCTCTCAGTGGACCCACACAATCAAAACCCATGTTGTTCAAGGGTCAACTGTATTCTCTGTCTTTCTTGCAACATCCACCCTAATGAGCAGACCTACAATGTGCCAGATAGTTTACAACGTGCTGCTTTGTGTATCTTTACGTTGCTCAGTGCTTTGTGTAACAGAGACTGTGCTGCCAGATCACCTCACAGGCTAGACCCGTTTGGGAACTGATGAGAATGAAGACTGCAACCTGGAAAAGGTTACTTGCATATTGGTTTACCGCGGACACAGAAAAAAAGCAGGGCAATGGACACGTAAGAAAAAAATACGTGATGTTAGAGTGGCTCTAACTAGTAGCATCTCCCCTGTTCCTTACAAAGTCACACCTAAAGTTTGGGCCCTATACAGAGTAAGACACAAACCGGGTTGGCAGAGAACCGTGGTCTACTACCTTTTAGGTGGTTGACAAAGAGATGGGGAGTAGTTATATCAGTCCATGTTTGGGTTTTTAGACCCCAATTTCTTGCTGCAACAATTACATAACCTAGCTACTAACATAGTATTTTTCTTCTGATGATTTTGGACCTACTCAGTAAGTCAGCAACCTGGACATGGCTAACCAGAAAGACATTCGGTTAAAGCTTCAAGAAAGAACTCAGTAGCACTATGTTACTAATGAAAACCATGGAAAACTTGAACTAGTTTACCTAGTTGGTGAAAGCTAATGGAAATAAAATGCTGAAAACCTAAGTGATTTCTAGATTGTTCTTCCAACTCAACCATTAACTTTGCTAAATGTTTCTTTTATACCTCTGCTCTTAATCTATAAAAATCTCCGCCCTGCCCCGTATAAGGCGTTAAGCCTACTAAAGGTAGCTCACTGTTAGCATGTAATCCCCAATGTGAAATAGTCTTAGAAAATGATTTCTTAGGTATAAATTCCTAATAACAAATTTTGTTAGAAGAAAAGTCTATGATTTTATTTTCAGTTTTTTGAAAATAGTTTTTAGGAAAAAAAAAATGACAACACAGAAAAAACTTGAAATCTCTCCTTGAACTATGAACTCTTAGCAGAGGAAGAGACTTTGAATTCCTCTCCTTCTGAAAGAAGAAATCACTTCCAAAATGTCCCTTGCTCGTGTAAATCTTTCCCAAGTTTGATGTACTTCACCTCATAAAAGGAACATGATTTTTTTTTTATCATTTAAAATGAAAGAAATAAAATAGGGAAGGTGAGTCTCTCATATTATACGTTTTTAGAGAACGGTTCCATCTTTGAAGCAGCTTTGTAATACTCAGAGCTGGTGTCCTCATCTATTAAAAATTAGCAAGTTGTATTCATTCAAGTACCTTAATTCACGGTACTTCATATAGTTTTATAGCTGGAAGGAGGCCCACACAAAAACAAAACAGAACAAAACGAAAAAAAAAACAGCTAGCACAGAGCTGTAAACAAAAAATAAAACAACTTTGAAATATTGATTACTATGAGGTGGAATCAAATGAAAATAAACCCTAGATGACAAAACAAATCTCTAATTACATAAATAAGTCCTATTATGAGCTGAAAATTTCCACTATCAGAATTTCCCAGTTACAATAAGGAAATACGTAAAAGGGGAACATAAGTAAACATGGTAATTTGGTTCTTTTCAGGTCTACTGGTCCAACTGCCAGCCACGTGAGTGTCCGGGTTTTCAACGAAGTGTGACCAGTTCTTCTGAAGAGGTCGGGTGAATAGCAACCGTGTTGTCAAAGTCAGCTTTTGTTGCCCCCATTTTAACCGCAACAGCAAAACCTTGCAGCATTTCATCACACCCGATTCCTTGCATATGGATCCCAACCACCTGGAGCAAAAAAAAGAAAAAGGCTTTAAGTAAAATTTTTATTAGGTAGATTAATACATTTTTTATTTGTCATGTGAGGTACGTGATATTTTAAAACCTCTAAGACACCTGAGTCTCTTATCTGGACATGACAGGACACAGGGTACTATGCAGTCCTGCGTCCATGTCCCTCCCCAGCCCCCCGACACAGCCCTTACTGCTCAGGCCCCTCTGGCTTTCCTTCTATCCGGAGTGTGCACTGTGCTCTCTCCTTTGCATAAGCTGTTCCCTCTGTCCAATTTTTCCTTCCCCTTTGAGTTAAGCCCAATCATTCCTCTGCCAGCTCCATTCACCTTCCCAACCAAGTCAAATTGTCTATCATGTGATCTCCAGTACCACTCTCTCTCTTTCATGACTCTCCCCCTACAATGTTCTATTTCTTTGGGGACTAGAAAATTACAGCCCATCTTCCCTGCAGATTTTAGTCTCTACACAGAGGGGACCTGCCTACATTTGCTTCCCACTCTTTCCATAGGACCAAGCAAAAGATGGCCCTCACGAGGCCCTTAGTCCATACACACTGCATGACCACACAGAGGACCATTAAGAGACATCTGTTTCACATAGCATTTTCCAGTTGTTTCTCAATCATTTTAAAACCGTGTTAATTGTTAATGTTCCCCTCCAGCAAATATTCTTACCAAAGTGAGAAAGTATAAAATTTAGCTATAAAAATACTTTGGTTAAAAATAAATCAAGAATAGGGGCGCCTGGGTGGCTCAATGGGTTGAAGCCTCTGCCTTCGGCTCAGGTCATGATCCCAGGGTTCTGGGATCGAGCCCCACATCGGGCTCTTTGCTCAGCAGGGCGCCTGCTTCCTCCTCTCTCTCTCTCTGCCTGCCTCTCTGCCTTCTTGTAATCTCTGTCAAATAAATAAATAAAATCTTTAAAAATAAATGAATGAATGAATGAATGAATGAATAAATAAATAAATAAATAAATAAATAAATAAATCAAGAATATACTACCAAGGGGCACCTAGGTGGCTCAGTTATTAAGCATCTGCCTTCAGCTCAGGTCATGATCCCAGGACCCCGGGATTGAGCCCTCCATCGGGCTCCCTGCTTAGGGCGAGCCTGCTTCTCTCTTTCCCTTTGCCTACTGTTCCCCTGGCTGTTCTCTCTCTCTCTCTCTGTCAAATAAATAAATCTTTAAAAAAAAAAAAGAAAAGAAAAAACATACTACTGAATTCTATACTTACCGTGATTAGAATGGTAAATTTTATGTTCTGTTTTTTTACAATTAAAAAAAGTATATCTCAATTTACAACAAAAAAGTCCCAAACCATACATATATAACACAGCCAGATTTTTTTTACATATTGTGATCTAAACTGAATTTACAAAGAGCTTTCGGGGATGGCACGAACTTTCTAAGATTCCTCTCCACATCCCAGTTCTTAGTCTTTGGTAGTCTGTCAAGTAATGTTTATCAAATGAATGAATGATAAAAGGCATGAGGAAATAACTGATAAGAGAAAAGAAGAGACCTCACTGATCCAATATCTGGACATCTTAGACTATTCAGGAACATTCAGGGCCAGAAAACAGCAACTTTTGTTTTGCTGCCCACCTTACTAATCTTTGCTCTGACTCTCTGCTTCTGTCAATCCTCAGTGATGCTGATTTCTATAATACAGGGATTATGTCTTCTGGCTTTTGGTTTACAGGGTCACCAAATCACATACAGACTATGCTCTTTTTGACAAAAAAAAAAGACCGGAAACAACACCTGAATCTTCAACTAAGCCGCTGTCCCTTCACAGAGCCATGTTCCCAGGGCATTCTGCCATGTCCCGCTGTAATATTTAATTCAATTTGTAAAAAAGCCCCCTGGGGGGCACCTGGGTGGCTCAGGTCATGATCCCAGGGTCCTGGGATCCAGCCAGGGTCAGGCTCCCTACTCAGCAGGAAGCCTGCTTCTCCCTCACCCACTCCCCCTGCTTGTGTTCCCTCTCTCGCTGTCTCTCTCTGTCAGATTAATTAATTAACTAATTAATTTAAAAAGCCCCAAAGGTTGACTAATACCCAAACAAATCTATTATAAAAAGTATTTTTTAAAAAATCTGTTCAAATTCAAACCTGTTCAAAATCTAAATCACAATGAGATACCACTTTGTATCCAGTGGGATGATTCCAATTAAAGACAAGTATCAAGTTGCAAGGGGCTGGGGGCACTAGAACCCTCACACAGGGCTGAGGGCATGTGAAAAGCATGCAGCCACTCTGGAAAACAGTCAGACAGTTCCTCAAAACATTAAACCAAAACTAGGTAAGTGGTATCCCAGAAAATTTCATTGAATAAGCGCTCTCTTCTTCCCTGATTGGCTATGTTAAATATAAATTTATCTTCCGATAAGTTCTTATACTTATCAGTATTTCTGAGGCATCTATCTATTCTAACCTATAGGTCCATGACAGTGAGCTTTTCTGTGGTTTTCAAACTTTCCTTCCTGTGTTTTAAAAGCATAAATATATGGAACCTTCTGTCTTTTTTATTTTTAAAAGGTTTTATTTGTTCATTTGAGAGAGACAGAGAGAGCACAAGCAGGGGGAGAGGCAGAAGGGAGGGAGAAGCAGGCTCCCTGATGAGCAGGGAGCCCGAAGTGGGCCTCGATCCCAGGACCCCAGGATCATGACCTGAGCCAAAGGCAGACGCTTAACTGAATGAGCCACCCAGGTGCCCCTGGAACCTTCTTTCTTAATGAAATATTACAAAGAACCCCAGTATATGTAGGCAGATAAAAGTAGGACTGCACCAGTTGAAACAGAGAAGGCTTAACTCTTTACTTGGTCTCCCGACTCCCCATCCTGCCAAATACCCCCATCCCTGCCAAGTCTGAAGACATTCTTTAGCTTACTACATTTTTCCCATACCTTTTCCTCTGCAGTGGCACAAACCATCTTCATCACACATTTTGTTTTCCTTTTGGTAACCGCATGATACATTGGGGTAAAGGTGGTTGAATAGGTCTTCACATTTTCTTTTCCATATTTATAAATGGCCTCATCTATAATGCACAGGGGGGGGGAAAGCATCTGTCAAAAACCTAAACAATTCCACTGAGCTGTCGAAGAGAGAGATGACCAGAAATATATAATCTGAGTAAAATCATGAGAAAATATCAAAGAAAACTACAAAGAGGGACATTCTGTAACATAAATGCCAATGTCATGAGAGACAAAGGAAAGGCTAGGGAATTTTTGTCTCTTGATTAAAGGAGACCAAAGGGGTAAGAAAATAAATACAATGCATCCTGGACTGAATCCTGACATTCGGGGAAAAAGTGTTAAAAATGACATTATTTAAGGGGCAGCTGGCTGGCTCAGTTGGTGGAGCATATGACTCTTGATCTGGAGGTTGTGAGTTTGAGCCTCATGCTGGGTATAGAGGTTACTTTAAAAAAAAAAAAAAGAAAGAAAGAAAGAAATGACATTATTTGAGAGAATTAGCAATATGTGAGTAAGATCTAAAGTCTGGATAATACTGTATGAATTTATTTCTTTTTTATTACCTTTTTTGTAAACTAAAGCATAGTGACATAATATTATGTTAGGTTGAGGCCTGCAACATACTGATTCAACAATTATAAACATGACAAAATGCTCACCATGATTAAGTGCAGTCACCATCTGTCAGCATGCAAAGTTATTTGAATATTAATAGCTATATTCCCTGTGCTGTGTTTTTCATTCCCATGACTTGTTTATTTTATAACTCGAGGTCTATACCTCTTAATCCCCTTTACCTATTTTCCCTATCCCTGCACCCAATATTGTAACAATTTAAATGTTGTCTTTTGAAAACTGTAGCTTGCTTATGTAAAGGAATGGACTCGTTCCCAGGAAACAGATATTGAAGCATGTGTTTGTGTGTAGAGAAAAACTATGGTAAAGCAAAAATGTTATGGGTATACATAGTCCTTTGTAGTATAGTAGTCTCCTACTATGCACAGGGAAAACATTCCGGGTCCCCAGTGGATGCCTGAAACTGTGGATAATACCAAAGCCTCTGTATACTGTTTTTTCCTATACATACATATCTATGATAAAGCTTAATTTGTAAGTTAGGTACAGTAGATTAACAACAATAACTGATATTAAAAACAACTATAATACACTGTAATAAAAGTTACATGAATGTGGTCCCTCTCAAAATGCCTTATCATACTGCACTCACCCTTCTTGTGATGATGTGAGGTGACAAATGCCTGTGTGGTGAGATGAAGTGAGGTGAGTGACGTAGGTGCTGTGACCCAGTGTTAGGCTACTCCTGACCTTCTGATGATAAGTCAGGAGGATCATCTCCTTCCAGACCACGGTTGCCCACAGGGAACCAACCATGGAAAGTGAAACCACAGATAAGGGGACTACGATATTTTTGCAACTTTTCTTTAAATTTGAAATTAGTTCAAATAAGAAAGCTAAAAAAAGGCAAAGAGACAAAAGGGTGGTGTGGGGAAAAGGAATTCTACTCTCCAAGTGTTAGCAGTTAAGGAGGAAACTGGAATTATGACAAGAGGCCAGCCAGAAAGGAGTGGAATTTAGGGAGTGAAGATAGGTTTAGTCAGCAACCTCCCCCTGAGGTTTCAGGGAAGATGAAAATTACAAATTACCTGTGTTTTTATTTTTTTTTCTTTTTTTTTTTTAATTTTTTTTTTATTTTATTTTTTTTAAACATATAATATCTTTTTATCCCCAGGGGTACAGGTCTGTGAATCACCAGGTTTACACACTTCACAGCACTCACCATAGCACATACCCTCCCCAATGTCCATAATCCCACCCCCAACCCCCCTCCCCCCATTAACCCTCAGTTTGTTTTGTGAGATTAAGAGTCACTTATGGTTTGTCTACCTCCCAATCCCATCTTGTTTCATTTACTCTTCTCCTACCCCCTTAACCCCCCATGTTGCATCTCCTTTCCCTCATATCAGGGAGATCATATGATAGTTGTCTTTCTCCGTACCTGTGTTTTTAAATACCTACCTTCCGTGAGTCCCACTGTCCCAATCGGGGGGTGGCTGAAGACGACTGTGGGGATGTTGTCATAGTCTAATTTGGAATCTTCTTTGCATTCAAAAAGTCTATGGGCAAGTTTTCGGCCAGCAGCTATGGCAACTACAAAGATATTTATAAATCAGCATTTCAGTTTATTGCTCACTTTAAACTGCAGAATTGTTCTACTAACCATTTCCTCTTCTGGCTTAAAGTACTAATACTGACAAAGAGTCACACCAAAGCTCATTATAATATCTAGATCACCATAATGAAGACATACCAATGCCTTGGTAAAATTCAAAACTATCAGCTTATGTGAATTCTGTATGTTCTACTGGGGGAGGGGGGAAGGTGGGACATATTTACTAGTTCCCAATCATCTGGCAGACAGTTACCTACTTAATTAGGATATTGGCTTTTTGATACAATACAAATGAAGCAAACTATATTAGTTTTGAGCAACTGTTGTATGTTATAACCTTGTTCATTTCACAGAAAGGCTGTTGTTTGTTTGTTTTTTTTTCCTTTAATTCCCGAGAAGGCCTCCCCAGCCTCCCCCTATCTACCACGTACATCATGGCTCCTCCTCACTGGCTAGTCCTGATGGATTAGGGCTCTGCTTAGCAAGAATAAAGACCATGATCCTGGATGATGAATGACTCCACACTCTCCCTTGCTGTCCAAAGGGACTTCCGGGCTCATTTGGCTCTGATGATTGTCTCAGACAATCGCCAATTACACACTTAGTCATGCTGCTACTGACTTGACAGAGTAAGTTTTTTTTTTTTTTTTAAGTTGGAGCCCAACGTGGGGCTTGAACTCACCACCCTGAGATCATGACTTGAGCTGAGATCAAGAGTCGGATGCTTTTTTTTTTTTTTTTTAAGACACTTAACCAACTGAGCCACCGAGGAGTCCACACAAGACTTTTTTATGTTTATTTTTTAAATTACTTTTACTTCTTATTTTTTTAAAGTTTATTCTCCTTAACCTGTTTTTAATCTTGTATTTAGAAAAAAAAATGCCTACATTAGCAAAAGCATCAGTTATTAATTTTGTTGATTTCACGTTTTTTTCCCAAAATAAGGTATCGGCAGGATACATAAGAAATTTTCTTTGATATAATTTTCAATAATTAGATTATTGTCAAGTTTTTGAAACTTTGCTTGTTATTTTGCTTTGGCTAAAAGAACTTCCTGAAGGAGCTATAAGGCTTTGGGCATGTGACTGCAGTAACTTTCCAGTCTGACAAAAGACCCAGGGCCATTTTAGAAAGGCTGGTGAGATACCACAGGGGTACAGAGTGAAAGCAGATGGAGCGATGTTGCTAATACAGGTGGGGCAAAGAGCTTGGAATGGTGCCAGTTAACTCATAAAGTAGATTGAAGTATGGGATGAAGGGAGTTGGGTCAATCTTAGTCGTTATAATAAATAATCAGGGCACCTGGTTGGCTCAGTGGGTAAAGCATGTGACTCTCAAATCTCAGGATCATGAGCTCAAGCCTCACGTTGGGCATGGAGCCTACTTAAAAAAAATAAATTAAAAAATACATACACACAAATAAAAATGAAAACCTTGGGAAAAAAAAGACTACATAATCACATAAGAATGCCACTCCAAATTGCTTCTTCCCAAAGCCACCTCCTTCCACTGTCACCCCATGCAACTCAGATTCTAACTTAGTCTCTTCAGAAGGAAGAAGTTGTCATCTCTATAACAATTTCAGTCTCCACTAAAGCACTTTTAAAGTCTTTTAAGGAAAACTAAGTATTAGTCAGAAAACATCACGTACCAAACGATTTCAGTACATTATTATTTTGCCCACATTAAGACACTCATCCTTTCAACTTTGCTTAAGTTGAGCGGACTGTGAATGGCTCAACAGTTTTCTACAACCCACAGAGCTTCCCTTACCCGACAAAAGAGAAACAGTACCTGGAGTAAGAAGAGCTTTTCCACACACGTCCCCAACGGCATAGATGCCTTTGACGCTGGTATTCTGGAACTCATCTACTATGATATGACCTTTTTTATCAGTTTGAATCCCCTAAAAAAGTGAAAGGCTATCATGTCACTATTTGGCCTATCTACCAAAAAAGGCAAACCCAATCTCCGGATCTTCAGTTCAAGCACCTTCTCAGCCTGAATCTGAAAACCGCAACACTCAACCACAAGATGAAAAACATTTTTAGAATATTTTTATTTATTTATTTGAGCAAGCATGAGCCAGGGTGGGGGGAGACCAGCAGAGGGAGACAGAGAAGCAGGCTTCCTACTGAGCAGGGAGCCCGACTCAGGGCTCCATCCCAGGACCCTGGGACTGTGACCCAGGCACCCAAGATGACAACCATCTTAACAAGTTGAGAAGTTCAGGGGCGCCTGAGTGGCTCAGTCAGTTAAGCATCTGTCTGCCTTCGGCTCAGGTCACAATTTCAGTGTCCCGCGACAGAATCCAGCATCTGGCTCCCTGCTCAGTGGGGAGCTTGCTTTCCCCTTTCTGCCTGTCATTCTGCCTACTTATGATCTCTCTCTCTCTGTGTAATAAATAAATAAAATATCTAAAAAAAAAAAAAAAACAGCTGAAAAGTTCCTATCTTTTGCTTAATTTAAAAGGTAATATTTGGGGCGCCTGGGTGGCTCAGTGGGTTAAGCCTCTGCCTTTGGCCCAGGTCATGATCTCAGGGTCCTGGGATCGAGCCCCACATCAGGCTCTCTGCTCAGCAGGGAGCCTGCTTCCTGCTCTCTCTCTGCCTACTTGTGATCTCTCTCTGTCAAATAAATAAATAAAATTAAAAAAAAAAAAAAAGAATATTTTATCCAATTTTGAGATGTTTAACAGGACTCGCCTTTGCAATACAATTCAGCTGGCCAGGTAAAACATGAAAAGGAAATACTCAACTCTCAGATGCGCTACTTCCTACTGCTGTAGAGTCCATCAAAGACAGCGCTTTCAAACTTTCAAACTTTTCCCACTGAATGGGGGCACCCGGGTGGCTCAGTGAGTTACACATCTGACTCCTGGTTTTGCCTCAGATCATGATCTGCCAGTTGTGGGATCAAACCCTGGGTTGCGCTCTGCGCTCAGTGTGGAGTTGGCTTTGGATTCTCTCCTTCCCACTCACTCTCTTTTTCATACTAAATAAATAAATAAAATCTGGGTGGGGACCCTTTTTCCACTGAAACACTCCTCTTGAAGTGCACTAATTCATAACTTAGAGGGGTTAGCCTGAAGCAGTCATCAAAAGCAGGCTTGTTTGAAGCTTACCGTTTTAATTTTTTTTTTTTTTAAGATTTTATTTATTTGACAGAAAAACACAGCAAGAGAGGGAACACAAGCAGGGGAATGGGAGAGGGAGAAGCAGGGGGAATGGGAGAGGGAGAAGCAGGCTTCCCGCCAAGCAAGGAGCCCAACATAGGGCTCAATCCCAGGACCCTGGGATCATGACCTGAGCTGAAGATAGACGCTTAACAACTCAGCTACCCAGGCGCCCCACCATTTTAATTTTAAGAAATCCAAATAAATTTGGTATTCTCTCTAAAACATACTGATGTTTCCTTAACCAAATTTTTTTCCTGCATACTGAGTCAAATTTTGGCTCCAAAAAGATGTGGCATGCTTATCTTGTGGCTTTGCAGATCCCACCTGTATAAACTCCCATGTGAGAAGAGAAATAGTGGAAATAGACAACACAGTGGTTAAGAGTACGACCTTTGGACAGAGACCTGGTTCAAATCCCAGCTCTGCCACTTACTAGCTATGGGACCTTGTATAACTGCCTATTTATTAACAAATACTTGAGCTTCTAGTACAAATGAGGCATTAACCTGGTCACTGTAAATAGTGGTAAGTAATACAGATATCCTCCCTACCCCCACAGAATTACAGCCTGGTAGATTGTTTATTATCTATGTGCTGCTTCTGGTTTCTTTGTCCTTAGCCCTTAAAGAGTTGTGGGCAAGATTAAAGTGGGTTAGTAACAAGGTATAGGTTGACAAGACCTATACATGGTAAAAATGTTCATTTGCATCATGCAAATATATATTAATACTGAATAAGACTGAAAACTTTCATCTCATTTTTTAAAGATTCAGGAAAATATTTGAAAGGTTGAAAACTCAACCTACCGAAGCCTGTATCTATACAATGACAAAATATCTCTTGAAAGGTGAAAACCTGGATAATATGAAAACAAACAGTTTAACTAAATTTTACCAAATAGTAATTAAAAACAAGGAAACATCTCCCTGGATATTTTTACTTTTTAAAATGCTGAAGAACACCTTTTATGAAATGAAAAAATAATGGTAAAGGATATTACTATTAGAACATAAATTAAAATGTTACACACTGCTCAGAAGTCCTATCAAATATATAAACCACAGGGACACCTGGGTGGCTCAGTTGGTTGAGCGGCTGCTTTCGGCTCAGGTCATGATCCCGGGGTCCTGGGATCGAGTCCCACATCGGGCTCCTTGCTCAGCAGGGAGCCTGCTTCTCCCTCTGCCTCTGCCTGCCACTCTATCTGCCTGTGCTCACTCTCGCTCTCTCTCTCTCTGACAAATAAATAAATAAAATCTTTAAAAAAAAAGTATATATATAAACCACAAACATAAAATAATCCTCTTATTACTTGCAGAGTAGTATAGCCTATCAGGAAAATCCTTACCATCATCAAAAAGAGCAACTGGTTAACATGGACTGAATTCATACAACCAGCCAGCATCTAAATTAATTCCTTTGTGGGGCACCTGGGTGGCTCAGTCGGTGAAGCATCTCCATTTGGCTCAGGTCATGATCTCAGGGTCCTGGGATCAGGTCCCATGTTGGGCTCCCTGCTCAACATGGAATCTGCTTCTACCTCTCCCTCTACCCCTTCCCTCCCCCGTTAGTGCTCTCTCTCACTTTCTTTCTCCCAAATAAAGAAATAAACTAATTACTTTGCATGCATAATCTATAACCCAGTGAGACAAGTACTATTTTTTTTTTAAGATTTTATTTATTTATTTGACAGACAGAGATCACAAGTAGGCAGAGAGGCAGGCAGAGAGAGAGGAAGGGAAGCCGACTCTCCGCTGAGCAGAGAGCCCGATGCGGGACTCGATCCCAGGACCCTGAGACCATGACCTGAGCCGAAGGCAGAGGCTCAACCCACTGAGCCACCCAGGCTCCCGACAAGTACTATTTTTATCCCTATACTGACATGAAGCAATTGAGACTTTAAGAGTAATGAAGCTGGGACGCCTGGGTGGCTCAGTTGGTTAAGCAGCTGCCTTCGGCTCAGGTCATGATCCCAGTGTCCTGGGATCGAGTCCCACATCGGGCTCCTTGCTTGGCGGGGAGCCTGCTTCTCCCTCTGCCTCTGCCTGCCATTCTGTCTGCCTGTGCTTGCT